TACGAACAACAATTTGGTTGAAATTATCATTATGCTTATGAATGGACTCACTTTCATGCATTTGCATGGTATATAATTATTTCTTCAGGGAGAGATAATTAATTATGGAGAGATTTTATCATATATCGACTTTCAAGCTTTGTCCAAAGTTTGTTGACAGTTTTTTCTCTTGAGACTTCTCCCTAAACTTCATCACCAAGCAATAACAACATTACGCCATGTGCCTTTTTCATTATCACATTCTTTTGTGCAGATGTAAGGTCAGCTAACAACTTTGCTTCTCCTTCCAATTCCAACTCATTGTTGTTGCATGAGGAGAACAAGTTTCTCACTCGCCACATATTGAAGTTATTCTTGCCAAAAAAAATTTCAACGTCAAACTTTGCAAATGTCATAGTTCTGATACCAATTTGTTATGATAATACCGTATTTGACGTAGAAATATAACTATACTAAAGATAGTTGACACTAAGAAGAATTTCTATTATTAAGAAAAGAACAAAATTACAAAGAAGAATTATTAATGAATTATTTATCTCTCACAATGTTTTCTAAGGATTATTTTTACTCTTCTACTTGAATGAATTATTACAATTCTATGCACTTATTTATATAAGAATACAAGCAATACAAGCTTCTCGTTATGAATTATTCATATTACCTAAATCATTAATTTAATGAATAATTTATAACCATTGACTATATATGAAATCAATCATAAGTCATACATAACAACTACCTTTATGTTATTAACAAACAATAGTTTTTTTATTAGTAAAAATCATAACAACAACAACAAGGTTCAAGTTAGAATTTTATGTATAGTATTCCAATCTTCCAACTAATATGCACTATTTCTCAAAAAAAAAAAAAATCCTCCTCAAAATTGCTTTGATTGTTATTCTACACTCAAAAGTCGATACCATTTGTTTTTATATGATACTTTTTCTCTAATGTTTATAGTAAATTTACAAATTTGATTTATTTCAACAAAGATTTCATAAGTATGTATAAATTATTAACATTGTGACTTAAATCAACTTGTTCTCCATAAGATTACTTTTTTTCTTTTTTAATCATATTATTGGTACGAAAAATTTATTAGTTTCATTAATGATTAATCTTCATGAAAAAATTTAATTAATCATCTTTAGTAAAGTATCTTCTCCCAATCACGTTTATTTTATTAAGTTACTTTGGTTTAGTTCTTGAAATAATTTTCCAAACTCGAAAAACAAAGTGGATAAATAAATTCTGATTTATTTAAAAGATTTCCCTCTAAAACCAGATCAGACTGACGTATTGATACCATTAGGCAATGCACATCCCATCCCGTCGTAAACACAAGGCATAAACAATCATATTCTTACAACATTATAAAATTATATATATAAGTGCTCGTAAAAATAATTCCAAATACGGTAAAATTAGGAGCAGCCAAAATGAACTAAACTGAAATTAAAAAAATTGCATTGAATTATAAAAAATGTCACTTGAACTGAATTATAAATTGATTCATGCGAACCGAATTATATTTTGTTTTACTAGATAGATCGAATTGCACTGCACTCTAAACATTTTAACTAATTTTATATCTTTTTTCTCTCAATCATTGATTTATACTCTCTTAAAATCATATTTTGAAAATTATTTTATAAAATATTTTAAAACAAAACGGTTATTAATTTCTTGTTTATAGAATTGAAAACAATAAAAAACAAAAGCAATTATACTATGAAATAATAATAATAAACTAAGATCGAGTATTCTTTGATCATGTCTTACTTTTATGAGGAACATATAACTTGTATTTGAATAGAACAGAAAACGTGGAAATTATTGCTCTTTGGTCAACTACTCTCGTGCACACAAAAGGGGACTCTCTTAGTGTTTTTTGTTTCTTCACTCTCCGTAAGCAAAACAGTTTGGCAGTCACTAAACTGCACTTTCAACAGTTCAGTTTTTAAAAACTGAATTGAAATTAAGTTTGGTTCAGTTTTTATTTTACACAAGTTTTGTATATTTTAATATTGTTCAGTTTAGTTTTCTACCAATTCAAGGAACCTTTTCATTTGTTTTCTTAATAATAAGGATAAGAACACCTTATCCAAATCTTACCAGCCCAACCACCTAAGTCAAGATCAATTGGAAAATAATTCTTAACACCAGCACAAGACTTGACAAAAACCACCCCTCCAACGAAAATAAAATCTCTGTATTTCAGAATTCGTGATCTGAAGTTCTATTGACTTGACTTGACCATAATCAAATCCATTTCAATTCAATGGCAGGCTCATGTTTCAAGCCCAGCGCCCACGTAAAGAGTTTAGGTGTTTAGCTAAACATCAAATAGAAATTTAGTTTGTACGAAACCACGATCATATGATTACATCGAAGTTTATAAAAACATAGTTCAATTATTGTAAATTCAAATATACTTGGCTAATAATTTCATCATCTCTCACTCAGATTATAAGTTTCTTTAACTAAAATAAAATTATTTGGTACATTAGTTTATTTAAGCAACTTATTTCTATAAAACTTCTTAAAATAACTTGTAGCTTATATTTTTTTTTCTCTTTACTTTTTTATATCATTAATTCACTTAATTTAGAAACTTTTTTGTTTACATATTAGTCTCTCACTCTCCAATGAATAAAAAAGATCTTTCAATTTCTTTATTAAATAAATAAATATATCAGTTTACATATTTTACATTATTCAATCTTCAATGAATAATCTCCTTATTATAAACCGTAACTTTTCAACTCCTAATTTAAGGGTTACAAGTTTTCAACTTTAAAATTTCCAATCAACTTATAAACTAGTTTCACTGAACATAGCCAACATGATAAAAACCAGAATTTCAGGTTTCCTGTGTTATAATTACTTCAACGGTATTTAAGCAAACACAATTATTTTTAGCTAAAAAATTAAAAGCACAATGGCGTCGGTTATTATTATGAATAGTATAAAATTCATTTAGTTTATCAAAACGTAGTATTAATCTAATCAAACAAAAAGTAATGAAATTAATTTCAATTGTGATCATGTAAGTATCAATGGAATCTCATAAGTCATTGCAACTCGCTCGCTCTGGAACATGAGGTTTGCCAAGCACAGGTATAAAAAAGTGCATTTTGCTTTCCTTTTCATACAACAATGAACAATGCAGTTTACATAAAATTTCATGATGAAAAACTGAATTTATGAATCGAAAAGCGCAAGCCCAATCTAAATCGTTGTCAACAAAAATAAGCACTAAACCAGCTCAAAATTGTTACCCTTGGCATTAAATGTACCCAGAATGTAAGTATTTGTAATTCTCGAAACACAACTCATCAGTGTTAAAATCGAGTATAAGAACATAGGCAGGCAAAATAAAGTTCCCACCTAGCTCTGTTTTACAAATAGAGTGAAAAAGATGCACCCCTAGAAGCAGAAGAAATAATAAAGTAGAGGATGATAAATCAAGAGAATGAAAACCCTAGCTGGAAGTAATGAAAAGACAAATATGACATCCGTCAAGGAAGACCTGTTATGTTTTAAGAAAATAGCCATTAAAAAGGCAATAATCAAGCAGTTGAAATAAGTTATATGGTCTTATAAACATAGGTATTCTTGTATGCATTCTGAAAGGCCCAATAAATGAGTTAAAAAGTCTAGTTAGTGACAGATCCAAATAAAAAAGGTATGCTTAATTTGACAAGAACAAGTCTCCGTTTAAATTAATCTGTTAGCTTCATCTAAAATTTAGGAACTCATACCATCCTGAGTTACTGCACCCGTCAAATTTTCACTAAATTTTTTTTTAACCTCGTATGTAAATGAAGGCAAATATAGGCATATATTTGAGGAAGAAACTTCTTACTCCAAAAATAAATCTTAATAAAATTATTATACCTAATAACTCATTTTATATCAAATTTCAATGATGTTAAATTTAAATTTTTTAATCTATAGATCAAATTTGAATTTTTTTTAAATTATGTAATATTTCATTATAAAGATTCAAATTAACATATAAAATATTTTTTTGACTATTTAATTCAAATTAATAAAACAAAATATCAAATAATTTGTTAAATAAAAGAGTTTTCCAAATTCATTTTACATAAAATTGGTTTAAATTTCATGTAATTCTCTATATTTCTATTCATCAATATACCAAAAAAAAATCAATTTTTAAAAAAATTGTGACCTTAATTTATGCATTAAAATTTTAATTGAATAATTAAATTATTAAAATTTAATATAAAATATAAATTATTGAATGAAATAAGCCTACCAAAACTTATTTTAAATTCCCCAGATGATATGCATACTATGCTCACAACTAATGTTTTTGAGAGTGTCATCCATAAGACTGTAATTTCCTTTTTATTTTGCTTTATTTGCATAAGTTACCAAAAAAAACTTATTGAAAAGTGGATCTCTCTCTCTCTCTCTCTCTCTCTCTCTCTCTCTCTCTATATATATATATATATATATATATATATATCCAATTCCATTTTATAAATATCATTATAAGTTATCCTTGAATGAACAGAAAAGTATTCTCCCAGACATATCAATCCAAAAATTAAAAATTATGGAAGAACCAAGCAACTAATCAATTTATAGGATTAAACCTATTAAGTAGCAGAAAAGAAACGAGTCTTAATGACATTGAAATCCTTAAGGCAGTTAAATTTAATTAGTACAAGGCCGTTAAATTTATTGAGCAGTAGAAACTGTGAAGAGAAGCTAGTTTATCAAACTAGACTAGAGAAATAACAAAGGCACTCCTAACAACCCATCAAAAAACCTAAAACACCAAGCAATATCCAATGTAATGCCATACCCACAAAAAATAAAGCTCACTCTATGAATCCAACACCCAGAAAATATAAGATGGAAGTTATTCGTTTCAAAAGAACCAATTAAAAATAACTATACTCATAAGAAAGAAGAATAATGACTTACCCACTTTGTGCAATGACTTACCACTTTGTGCAGGGTTAAGGAAAAAAAAAATCAATTTGATGGTTATTTTAAATAAAGAGTTGGCTCATCCTCCCATACCTCCCAAATTAGAGAAGTTAAAATGTGCATTGGATGGAATGAGATGGAAGAGTTACCCAGTTTGTTATATCCTTTATAATTTCTAAGGATTCAAACAATAACGACTAACACATTTCCATTTCTATTAAATGAAAGATAGCCTAGGAGAATAAGACAATGAGTACGAGAACTCAAGAATAATCACTACAAGAAATTGCTACCCTCCACCATAAAATCTGTTGCCAAAATTTACTTGTACAACTTCCTCACCATAAATGCTACTAGAAGTCTAGAACATTCCATACTTCAAGTAATCTTCTAGAAATTTGCACAGCATTTGGAAGCAGTCCAAATCAACAGATCTAAAACTGATTGCCGTCAAAATGCTCTATTTCATAACCTTGCATAACGGGCATTTGCCTCCAGCAAAACCTTAGCAAATACAGCAAAAAGACATCCCAAAGGAACCAATCTAGCAAATTCCTATAAGGATTGAATTAGATATATGATATTAAACATAAAGCAGAAAACCAATAAATGAGGAAGGGGAAAATATACAATCGGGATAATAGAGGCAAACCAATGGCAAAATTAAGAGGGCCAACAAACTAATATGTTAAGCAGCTCAACTAAGAATTTATCTAGTGTACGAAAAATTCACAACTTCATACATGACAATATTTCTCACACAAAATCTTCAAAATGTTAACAAGAGAAATAGTAATCAAACTGAAAAGGGAAAGATAGTTCCACCTCCTTGATGGACAGGAAAGATAGTTTACAACTGTCCCACAGAGTCTTCATCATTTCCCCCTGAAATTTGCAAAAGAAAATTTATAAGAGGATAACAAGTTACTTCATTGAATTTTAGAAAAACAAAAATCACGTAAAGATAAAAGAACAATTTTCATTTCGTGATGAAAATTATGAAAGTACAATATAATTTCACTTACGTGTTCATCATTAAAGTTATGTTGTCTCCTTTAAGAAGGATCCTCCCTAATCAAAAAATAAAATCCTTCAGAAAATGCACAAGTGGCAAACACAAATTGAACCAAATTTGAAAAACTGTAGCATACCTAATGTCTTTTTGCTTTTCTTCTTGATGTTCACTTCTTCAGCATCATCAAGGACCAAATTCATATATTCATCAAAACCCTGTTTGAAAAACAATAAAATCACATTATCCTTATCTGTTCAGATGATCAACATTTTTAACAAGGGTCTGCTGTCTACAACAGCTATCACACACTGCATGGGAAAAATCCACACTTCTTAGGCTATGGAATAAATAATATTGGGTAATTGCAAATGTATTACTTGAAAACTTTTCTAAGAAATTTTTTTTTTTAAGAAAAAAAACAACAGAACACCACCCATTTAACTAAATTCCCTCACAATCCAATACACTGATAATCACAGTGCACATATAAAGTCACACAAATTCTAAAAAAAACATCAGTCTCCCGGCGTGGTGAAAATTTTCCTTCTCCTCGCAAAACACTTTAAAGTCGACAAAACACAATTTGGATGAGCACCCATATAACAAAACAAGCATACAAAATAAGACTCACAATGATTCTGCCTTCAATCCTCAAATCCTTTTGCTCAAAAAGCCAAATCTGAATGCGTGCTTTCTACATATGGCAAAATTAGAGAAAGGACACCAAATTAGATGAAGAAAAAGGGAAGTTAGGAGAAAGCCATAGGGAATTAACAAACAGAATGAGAGTGGGTGAGGACTTACGCTCTGAAGAAACCTGAAAATCAAGTTCTGGCGAAACAAAGAGAGGAATGAGGTAAGGTTACAGCTAAAGCAAAATAGAATCGAAATTGAAAGAGTGTCGTACAATAGGTTGGGTCATAACCCTCTGAACTTTGGTGCTCGCCATGGCTGCTAAAATCAACGACGATTCGAAGAAGTGAAAGGTACACCACTAAACCCTAAAAAGGTTTTATTAAAACTGAAAGGGTTTTAAAGATGAACGAAAGAAACCGATACTCATGCACATGCTCCTATTTCCCAACTATTATGTTAGTATTTTATTAAAAATTATATATCATATTAAATTGTTAGAAATATAAAATCTTATTTTTTGTTTTATTAAAAATATAATTGTGTAACTTTATTAAATATAAAAAAAAATGGTTATATAATGTCATATTTAAAATTTTTAATTAAATATACTTTTAGTTGTCATTTAATTTTTATCCCTAAAAAATATTTTTTATTTCTTGAGGAATACAAAAAACATATACTTTCATTTTTTTAATAGAAAAAATAAAATCTCATCTTTTTTTTTGTTAAAAATTAAAAAATATATATAAAGTTATAATAACTAAAAATGATATTTTAAATCAACAAAACCATCTATTATAATATTTAAAAAATATCCATCTATAATATATCTCTTCAAAATATCTCGATTATTTAATATCTGACCTAATTTTAATATTTTATTAATTTTTATAAATTTTAATTCAATAATTTTAATAAATAACATGATTAATTAAATATTAAGTAATGAAAAATAAAATAATTTATTTATCAATTAAGTATTTACACGTACTTTGTCTAAGTTCTAGACATAGAATATGAACTATATTATAGGAAAATATATATCTGATGTAAGACCCGGTTTCCTTTTTCCTTTTCCCCGAACCCTCAACTCTCACTCTCTTTTACTCTTATTCTCGATTCTTCTCTTCTCACTCTTGCTTATCTTCTTTCTCTATTGGCTTTGAGGTGATCTTGGTGGCTGTAGGTGGGGGTGGTGAGTAGCTGATTTCCTTCCCGGAGTGCTGATTCCTCGAGCTTGTCTTCTTCCCCACTCAAACATTTTTCTTCCTTCTTCTCCTCTCTTCTTCCCGGAAGCTGGGATCTTCGATTAAAGGTAAGGGAAGTTAGTTTGGTATTGATTTCTAGTTGAGAATGAATCGTTGTAAGCTCATTAGCTATTGAGATTGGTTGGTGTTTGATGATTTTTTTTTGGATTTCTGAAATCGGAAGTTTTGGGGTTTTTTGTGGGTTTTGACAAATTTTGGGTCTTTTGATGATTTTATGGTTGCATGTGAGAAGGGTTGATGTTTTCGAGCTGCTGGTGGAAAATGGAGTAACTTGAATGGTTTGCATGTTGGATTTCTGTTGAGTTGTGCAGGTTTTGGTTAAAATTTTCGAAAATGGAGTGTTGCTGCTGAACTTCGCACTGAGCGCTGTTCATCGCGCTGGGTGCGTGGCCAACAGGGGACCCCATTTGGCCAAGCTCGCCGGGCGCAATGATGAGTGCGTTGGGCGCGCTTGAGAATGTGGGTCTCTGGTTGGCCCGCGCTGAGCGTGACTTGGACCGCGCTGGATGCGATACTCGTTGTAACTTGCTTTTAGATTCTTGAGGCTGCGCTGAGCGCGACCCTTGTCGCACTGGGCGTGAGACTCCTTGGGAGTCTCTGCCTTGTGGGCGCTGGGCACAATTTAAATTGCGCCTGGGCGCGAGACCAAGGGGAGGTCTCTACCTTCCCCGCGCTGGGCGCTGGGTTAGGTACGTCGGGCGCGTGAGACTCCTTAGAGTCTCTGCCTGGCCTGCGCTGGGCGCAATTGGTATTGTGCCAGGCGCGAGAGAGCCTTGGGCTCTCTGGCTGAGTCCCGCCGGGCGCGAGCATACTTGCGCTGGGCGCGCTGGCCCCCTGGGGCTCTCTGGTTGTACTGCGCTGGGCGCAACTACGAGGGCGTCGGGCGCGGAGATGAGATATTATTATGTATTGAATTATGTTGTTTTATGCTGAGTTGAGTTGAAATGGATGAATATAATGTGATGACTAGTAGATGATGTTGGTTGATTGATGTTGAGTTGTAAAGTTGTGTTGTGTTGCAAGTTGATGTTAAGTTGTATAGTTGTGTTGTGTTGCAAGTTGATGTTGAGTTGTATAGTTGTGTTGTGTTGCAAGTTGATGTTGAGTTGTACAGTTGTGTTGTGTTGCAAGTTGATATGTTGAGTTGTAAAAGTTGTGTTGTGTTGAATGTTGATATAAATTGTTGTAGGCCATAATGGCTGAGTTGTTGTAGGCCGAAATGGCTGAATTGTTGTAGGCCTTGAGGGCTGAGTTGTTGTAGGCCTTGAGGGCTGAGTTGTTGTAGGCCTTAAGAGCTGAGTTGTTGTAGGCCAAAACGGCTGAGTTGTTGTAGGAGATCTCCGAGGTGGTGTGCGTGACGACGAATTATTTGATAATGGATGGTTCGTTGTATAACCGATGAGATGTAGACTGTTGTTGTGTTGATAGTTGAAATTGTTTCTAAGTTTTTTTTTTACCTTGTTGTACGTTGTTCTTTTTATACTAGCTTACCCTTTGTTGTTTCCTTGTGGCTGGACTGCTATGATCGTACTATGTACGGGAGCAGAGCAGGGATAGGTGTGTGGCCTGTGGTGAGTCTGCGGCTAGCAGGCGAAGCTGACTTAGTTGTTGTTTCGTTGTATTAGCTACTAGGTGTAGTGGTTGACGATGTATTTTGTTTTTGGTTGGATATTTTTAGCACACTCTAACTCTAGTCGGACTGAGACTTTGTATATAATTATATTCTAGATCCTATAATTATATACTCTCTCTTTCTGTCTGGTGTTTCCGGTGTTCAGTGGTGTGTGTGTAATAACCAGTCGGGTCGTTACATCTGATATGCACTTACTTAAGAGAAATTCATCGTGACTTTTGATAGATATTTTATATTAATATTATAGTTAAAAAAATGAAATATTTATTTAAATGTATTATTTCATGGATTTGTAGGAACGGAAATTGAGGCTTGGTAAAGGTATGTTTCGTAGTTTAAAGGGGTCGTCATCATTTCTGATATTGTATTTTGCACCTATTAAACATTAGTTTGAAGAGGGAGAAATATTTGAAAGACATCTTTTATGATCCGTACAAATATAACTCGGATAATGTACTGATAAAAAATCAAACATTCAAGACTGTTAATAAATGTACATGAAGTTTTTATGACCTGTTTATATTCTTTTATAGGCTGAAGCTATGGGAAACTACACCTTGAAAGTGAATCTCAAGATTTTAATTTGCATTGCTTAATTGTGTTGGATTCTGTGATATGAGACTATGGTGAAGTTAGTGTAGGACAAAAGGTTCTCAATCCCCTAATGCACCCAGTCTTACATATCATCTATTAGACATTATGGTATTAGGTTATCATATTGGTTTTTATCTTTAATGTGGGTTTGAATCTTTTATACAGAGGTTTAGGAGAAACATGATCCTTAGAAAAAATAAATATTTTAATCCTTAGTATTGTACATGAAAATATGTGGTTATTATACGTTCCTTAAGACTTTAAGCAGTATTATCTTTAAAAATCAACCCCTTAATAATTGAAGCATCTTTAGAAATTAACATCAATATATTAATTGTCAACAATTATATTGTGTGAAAACATGCGAATAATTATGTTGTATTAAAATGTTTTAAGAGACTATTTTTCAATATGAGTATTTTAAGAGATTTTTTAATTCTTTTGTTTTATTTTTTTTATGTATCATATTTATTTATGAATTAATTTTAAATTTTTAAAATAAATTATTAATAATTAAAAATAATATGATTACAATATAAGTTATTTATCTGAAATATAAATATAATACTAATGTTTAAAATATTTATTTATTCAAAATTTAAATATAATTTACATAATATAGTATTTATTTATATATATATAATTATTATAAGTTTTAGTTATATATAATAAATATTTAATATTTTAATCTGTAAAATACAAATGTTAAGCTACAAGTAAAATGATAAATAAGGTTCTATTTCCATATTACCAAACTAATTAAGACTGTGCTCGATAGCCATGGGATTACACCTACGACCAACAAAGCTCAAAACCGTAACATGACACCTACGAGTCTACGACCCAAAAAATCAACATGTCATTCCCCATGTTCTTAACAACTCCATTTGCCCCCTACACGTCAAATGATTCAGAGCTGATTTGAATACACCTCTGTCAATTAATAATATATTTCTCATTTTTTCTTTATTTTTTAAAGTAATTTTTTCTAGATTTTTTTTAAAAAAATGATTTTGAAAAATACTTTTTAGAAAACAAAAATACATTTAAGTATTTTTCGAAAGATAAATAAATTTGCTTTCTTCAAAAGTATTTTTTTGAAGTATCCCCATACTCCAAAGAGTAAAAATATACTTTTAAAAAGTATTTTCTAGAATGGTACTTTTTAGAATTATATTTTCAAAAATATTTTTTGAAAATATGTTTTAGTATCTCTAAACTCCAATAATAAAAATATATTTTCAAAAAATACTTTATGGAAGAAAAATGATATACTTATCGAAAGAATTTTCCTAAAAAAATATTTTTACTCTTTAAAAAAGTACTTTTCGAAAATATATTTTAAGGACTACAAAATACAATTTCATAAGTGTAATAATAAAAAATATATATTATTTTTAATCAATAACTTTCATATAATGGGACATATATTTGAAATCGACATCTTAAAAAAATTCAAAACCATGTATCTATTACATCAAATGCAAATAAAGTGAAAAATTAGGATTTAAATGTTGAGATTAAGAGTGAAAAAATATAGGGTTTAGAAAATAGTAAGTTGAGCCAAGTAGATATCTTTATCGTTAGAGAGAAAAAATAAAAAAATAAAAAATGAGTGTATAAAAGGTGATTAAAGAAATAAAGTAGCGATAGAAAATGAATGAAGAAAAAAGAGGTACATGAAAAAAAAATTACTTTAAAAAGTAAATTAAAAGGGTATTTAAAGAAATTTTGGAAAAAATATTGAGACAAAAATAACATTAAAAAAGGATAGTATATACTTCATATCAATATTATGATTTATAAAAAGTGTGTAACATTTGCCTTGATTAAATGTTTCAATTGGAATCATAGTAGACATAAATAATTAAAAAGGTTACTACTAATATTTATTAAAAATATATATATAAATATTTTAACAAATAAGCATGGTCTTTAAAAATCAAATTGGAACTCGAGAGCTGATTCTAAAAAAAAATAAAGATGTTAACACGTTACAGTATTTGTCTTAAGATATTTTATTATAATTAATTAAACAAATTATAAAAAAAATATTTATCCAACTTAAAGTGTTGAATAGTCGGTTAGAATTGAGGAATAAGTTGGATATGGTAAAAACAATTAAACAGCGTGTTTGGCTTGCTTATTTAAAATTAAATGACACTGACATATCAATTAACGTGTGATTACCCCAAGAAACAGTGGATTTAGCGACTAAACACCATCAGTCACTAGTAGCGATTGAATTACCAGCTACATGAATTAAGCTTAGAGACGGAGTTAAAAAATATACTTTTTATTTCGCATCGATGACATAAAATTTCGTTTAAAATCTTATTTTAAACTAATCTGCCAAAGATCAAACTCAAATACTTTGACATAAAGTTGTTTTAATAAAAAATTTAAAATGCGAAAATATCAAGCACATATATTGACATAAGATGAGTAATGTGTCTTGAATTCACGTTGAATAATTTAAATTATCCTTAAATTCTGTTGAATGTGTCTTTAAATAAATGTTGACATTTTTTTATTTACGAAAATCAAACACAAATTAATTAATAACGAGAGTTTACTATACTAGCAAGCTAGACTCCTTATCAATGTTCACAAATTTGATTATAATTATACATTAGGAAATTAATTTTAAAGTCCAAAATTAATATTAAATTGAAATTACTAAACTTTAGTAACATCTATTAAGTAACTTTCACATTAAACAAAAAAATATACTAAATTTTAGTATGATTTTTTTAATAAAGACATCTTAAATCAGTCAAATACTCAATTAGATTTTACTTGCTCTGGTTTGGTTGTATGGTCAACCTAGCCAGAAGGTTGAAGTCTTGATGGACAAGAACAACAAAGCGTATCTTCCACCACGAAAATATGAACTGTCTTTCTGCGAAATTGCCTTATGTGGGCTTGGTCTACCTATCTAAATGCAGCCATGTGTGCACTTCCCATGTTTTGACTTTCTACATTTTGTGATTAAATATAAAATATCAACTAAAGGATAAAATATTTAAAGTTAAAAAAAAATATATTTAATTTAAGAATGAATATTCTAAAGAGAAATGAGAAAATAAAGAATCATACATACATCACGAGTCTCTCTCTATATATATATAAAGAGGAAAAAATCATCAACAATCTATTAATTGTTTCCACTTTCCATGCTTAAAATTAGTGGCTAACGTTGATTATTCCATGGCTAGGTGTTTCTCATCCCTTCTCCCTTGGTTCCTTATCTCTTTGCTTGTGCTGCTACAGACACAAACGGGGATTGGGTCAAGTGCGGAAGTGACCAAGTTGAGAGTAGGGGTACCCCAGAAACATGGTTTCCGCCAATTTGTGAATGTAGTTTTGGACGACTCTCGTCCACAAAAATACAACATATCTGGATACTGCATGGATGTGTTCAATGCCGTCGTAACCCGCTTACCTTTCAATGTTTCTCTAGATGTTGAACCTTATCCAATTTTTTCTAATGCCTCGAGGAAGAGTTATGGAACATACGAAGCACTTCTCCATCAGATCCCGTCAAAGGTTCGTGAATTTCACTCTTATAATCCCTTGTTTTTTTAAGTAACGTGATAAATAAGTGTATATTTATGAGTTTGAAAATTGACGAGTCTGCTTTTAAATTTTGTTTGCTAAAAAAATACGAGGGAACAGTACGATATTGTGGTGGGGGATATAACAATCTTGGCCAACCGTTCGAATTTCGTAGATTTCACACTGCCGTACACAGGATCGGGAGTTAAAATGCTGGTATCAGTTCAACATGGGAGGCACCAAACCATGTGGATTTTCATCAAACCCTTCAGCTGGGATCTTTGGTTGAGCATAATCATCATTTCTACGTCCATAGGGGTTTCCATACTCATCATGGAAAGAAATGTAAACGCGCTTCCTAATCAAGAGGGTTCACCCAATCGATCTAAGCTTAGCGCTGCCACCATCTTATGGTTTCCAATTTCTCAAGCCATTCTTCCCGAAAGTAATTCCACACCTAATGCTTTTTCTACAATAACCGATATGAAAATTATTTTTTATGACCCACATAGAAAATTTTGTTGTAGAATCAATCAGTATTATGTACTAATTAAGGTGGTGTTGGATTTTCAGGACAAGTGGTGGCGAAGAACTGCTCGAGATTTGTGTTGATGATTTGGCTTCTACTGGCGTTCGTCCTAATGCAAAGTTACACCGCAAACTTGACGTCTATATTGACTTTGGATCAGCTGCGACCGAGTTTTCTGAACGTAAATGATCTAAGAAAAGAGGGTTATTATGTAGGGTATCAAACGGGGTCATTCGTTTATGACGTGTTGGTACAGAAGTTCAAGTTTAACCCGTCCAAGTTGAAGCCATATAGCAACATTTCTGAGTATCATCATGCTTTAAAATTAGGAGTCCAACGTGGGGGTGTTGCAGCTATTTTCGACGAAGTGCCTTACCTCAAAGTGTTTCTTCAACAATACGGATCCAATTACATCTTGGCGGGCCCCACTTACAGAAATGATGGTTTCGGTTTTGTAAGTATATGCCCCCTCTGTCCCTCTCTATTTCCTTTTCAGGCCCTGTCTATTAAATTTTGCCCAAAACAATTTTTTTATTTATGTTTTACTTTTATTTAATTAAATCATTTTTTATTTATTTAATTAATAAATTTATTAATTAAATATTAATAATTAACAAATTTCAATAATTAATGATAATTAATTCAATCATTATTGTATAAATATATATTGTATAAATTTAATAAATTAATTTTTTAATATATTAATATTTATGATGAAACACTAATTTGTTTTGTTAGTAATTTTTAAAATTTTTAAATTAGAGAAAAAATTTGTTATTACTATTATAAAATTAAGATTACTTTTTATTTCAAAATATTATTTGTTAAAATTTAAATAATTTTTTTAAAGTGATTTCATATTTTAAAATATTTTATAACATGGTGTGAATATAATAAAATAAATTAATTTAATATTTATATAAAATAATTAAATTTATAAAATACTTTTTTAGAAGAACCAAACTAACATGATATTCTTACAATTATCACAATTATTTTTGTTAATTTTTTATATATAAATTATACTACTTTTATAGAAATGAATCTTTATATTCATTTTGGTATTATTTGTTATTAAAATTCAAAATAAATGTAAAATAATTTTTAAATTATAATAAAATTTCACAAATTAATAATTTTATATATTATAATATTTATGTGTGTATATAAATTTTAAATAATTATGTATTAATTAATTAATTATAATATAATAAAATATATTACTTAATTATTTATATGAAAATTATTTATTAAAAAAAAACAACAACAACAACAATACAAAGATCGAGGCTAAAGTAAATAGTCTTGCCTTAGCCACGCTCCTGTTCCTTTTCCCATCCTAAGTTAGTCTTCTTCCTTTGGTGTGTAATGATTACTATGTTCTGTTTGCTTCATTTTCTTTTACTTGTTGCAAGACTAAACTATAGTAGACTTTAGTGACTTAGTCCATGGTTGTCAGAAGATACTGCATCAACCATCACAATTCTTCTATTCATTGTTAGCTGCACTGTCGACCATATGCATATATAGTGACTGCCTTTAAATCTGTAGCATTATATTGAATGGTGTTTTTTTTTATTCTTTCAGGCATTGAGAAAGAACTCAACTCTCACGGCTTCCTTTTCGAGAGCCATCTTGAATGTGACTGAAAGTGACTTAATGAATGAAATTGAGGAAAAGTATTTTGGGAAGAATGAGATTGGAGGAGAAGACTCGTCTACGGAAATTTCTTCGGGTCCTTTGAGTCTCACGTTTCATAGCTTTGCAGGGTTGTTCATGATCACTGGGGTTGCTACGTTATTGGCCCTATTGGTCTCAGAAGCTGTTATATGGCAAAAGCCAATTTTGATGGCTAAAGAATTGAGTATGAGATATTTGTTCCCCACTGCACCTTCCTCACCAACACGTGTTCATCCAACACACGGAACAGAGGAGGCCGTTTAACAAGACCTTGTCAAACATTCCTAGAACTAGAACATTAAAATTACATTATGTATATATGCCAATAATAGAAGGAGCATTATGTGTCTGAACTTTGTTGAAGACTAACTTGCAGCATTATGTTGCAAGTTACGACATTGTTTGATTAAATCGTATCCAGTTATAATATCCTGTATCCAACTTATTTTATAATATATATTGCACACCATTAATTTCTTTATACTATTTCTTTTCTTTTTTTATCAGCTATTAAAAATAAGTGTGTTGGTATTTTCTTAGTTTCCATTAAATGAATAAATAATAGAATAAATTACACTCACTCTTATGATTTTTGAAATTATATACATGTTCCTTGTATTTATTTTTTTAATTTAGTGTTTACAATATCCGTCATTATAAGAGGTTACAAAGTAATGTTTGTTAAATAATTACGGAATTAATATACTATTTATGTGATGTTAGTGTAATATTTTTTAAATAATTAATTGAATTAGTATAAGAATAATATAAAAAAGGAGTATTTATACAATTTTTATGAATCTTCAAGCATGTTTGGGTAATTTAATCTAAGTATTATGAAATTACATCTGAAATAACGCAATTCACTTCAAAGCTGACTAAAATCGGATCCGACAATTATTTTATTAAAACGGTCAGGAGACAAAACTCCAGTGACAAACTTTCCAAAAGATTTTTCTTGGTTTGCGGTTTGGCTTTTTTTGCATTAAAGTCAATTTAATTGAAATCTATAACTTCTACAGTTCAGAAAGTGTTGATGGAACCCTTCTAATATTCATAAAATATATTTGTTTTTTTATTCATTTGTGATATGTTCATTTTTTTGGTTGGACTTTCTTATTGACTAGTCCAATTTTGCTAGCTTCCAATGTTTTCTTAACCAAAATAATGTTTCGAAGTTTTTAAGTTGAGTATTAAAGTTATTACGATTATTATTTGATTATACATACAATATTAATTTTGGTGTAAACTTTGTATTGTATATTTAGAAGGTTGGGGATGCTGATAGGAGTATTTGAGCAGGTTAAGTCCATGAAAGATGGCGTTGAAAGAAATTCGTGATAGTTCGTTCCTCTGTGGTTAATTACAGTTGATTTTTTTTCGTGATTTTATTGTAATTTTCATAGCTAATATTCGTAGATATGAACCTAAAATTTCACCGAATGGATATAAATGTGGCATTAAACATGCAGAGAGATGACATCCCAGTCCTGTTGTGTGTTCCTCTTCCTGAAGGACATGAGTTTCGATGATGAGCAGAGACTATGAGAGGAAAACTGGGGCCACACCTTAGCAACAACAAACCCTGCCATGTGAAACTCCACAATAGTCATAACTCAACCCTGCCATCAGGGACGGATATATATTAATGCTAGTGGGGGCAATTGCCCCCAGTAAAAGTTTTTTCATTCTCTTTTTTATATAAAATATTAATTGTTTTATAAAATATATATTATTAATTATTATTATATTATATCTAATATAATAAAATATATTAATATTTTATTTATATTTTTAATTATTTTTACTTTATGATAAAATTATCTTAGTTTTTTATAAAGAAAAAATTTATTTACTTAAGAGTAAGTCTATCAAGATTTATTCTATCAATAACTAATATTCTATATCAAATTTTAAAAAATTCAACGGTTAAATTAAAAATTCTTAATGTATAGATCAAATTTATAAATCTTTAAAAAGCTTAAAAATCATATGATATTTTGTTATATAGATTCAAAATAACATATAAAATATTTTTTTTATTATCCATCAATTTAAATTAATGAAACGGAGTATCAAATAACATTTTTTTTTTAATTTTAAAAATTTGATCTACACATTAAAGACTTTTAATTGAACGGTTGAATACTTGATGTAGAACATGAATTATTAAATAAAATAAGTCTATCAAAATTTACTCTTGAAATAAGTAGACTCCTCCTCATTTTTTATTATTATAATATACTATATCTTCTGGCTAAAAATTTATTACTTCTTTACTCATTAAAGATGTCATGATTTAATTTACTAATGTAGGTTGTTTTTTAATTTTTATTTTATTTTTTAACCTTTTAATCATGTATATGCATATTGTGTATTGGTATAAGAAGATCCACGTTAAAAAGAATGAAAGTAATTGTTACACAGCTTATTTTTAACTTAAATATATTTAAATAAAAAAATTACTCTTATAAAAAAATAAGCATTGCACTCATAAAATATTTTTATTTTAAATGAGTAAAAATTTAAAAGACACTAAAAAAACAAATTAAAAATTTTATTATTTTTATCCTATTAATTTTACCATTTTTACTCCTCTAATCTTAAATAAGCCACAAAAAAATTATAAAATGACACTATAAATTAAACTCAGAAAGAGAAAAAGGAAAATTTCTCACTCTATTTATAAAACAACTGTAATTTATAAAAATAAAGTATTTTAAAATTTTTACCATAAATTATTTTCTTTTTTAGTAAAAATTGATATAGAATATTTTATTGTTGTCACTTAACAAATTTATTTTTTTAATACGTCACTGCCTGCCATCCCTTCAACCGCGTACTTTTCAGACAACTCCACAATAGGTAGCAATATTGGGCTCCAGAGAGTATGGAAACTGAAGTTTATTAGCAAAGAAAAAAGAAAAAAGAAAAAAGGAGGGGGGTGGTTTGGGAATTTCCACAATAGTTATTCCATATAAATATAATGGTGCGCAACGCCCTCAATTACATATTATACAAATGCCTTCCATGACTACAACCAGCTATGGAAACCATCAAAGAATAACTCACTAATCACAAAACACGATTTTCGCAATAAAAGAAAAGAATTACTTTTACAACATCAAACTTTCCATGTAATGGAGAGCCGGTACCTAAGATTACGTAGAATACACAATCTTTCCATGAATCCCAGCTATGGAGTATAGCCAAAGCCAACCACCTAATAATTACTTTCCACTGATAACAAGTGACTGGAAAGGCTCCCTCTTTATGTCGACGTAAGTGGAGAAGTCCTTGCTCAATGGCTGTTTCCAGGGCTCCCCATCCATTTGCATATAGGCATTCTTCCACTGTCCACCTCTCACTTCCAACCGAATAGCTGATGCCTGAAAGATAAATCGAATTCAACAGTCAGCACAAACCACTGGGACTGGTTATTGAGAAAGACAATTTCAGAGGTGAGCTATGATCAGATTTGTCAACACATCCATACAAAAGAAAAGAGAAGGCGCGCTCTATATTGGCAGAAGGAAGGAAAAAAAAAAAAAAAAAAAGGCTTTCACGTTATCAACTTTAATTTGAAAGTGAAATCAAATATTAAGTTGTAAAATTGTTAGTCCGGTAACACTGAATACAATGCAAATAAGGCTGCCATCCTTGAATAGTCAGTTGCAGTTGATATTTTGTTTCAGCGAGACATAGTTAATGAATTTCTAATAAAGTGCCTAGTTTTTCTCTTTTCTTTTCTGAGTGGCTTTACACCACCTTTTCCCGGAATAACTCTTAGAGGTGGGGTTACGGTATACTAAGTTTCTTGGCCGAGGTGCTCAAAATCATTAGACACATTTTTTTAAATGCTAGACTGACATATTTAAGCGCAGAGTTTCTTGCTAGGTATTGGCATATTCTATTAGCCACATACAAGTGAAGATGATCAATACAAATGACGAAATTCTTCAAATTCAACAAGCCTTGGCAAACAGAAAATAACACAAGCAGTTGTTATTTAGAACGTGTCAGTCTCAGACACAAACAGCGAGTGAATCTAAAGTTCAAAATTTTGCATGAGAAGTAAGCAGTAAGCAATTCACTCAAAAACATAAACAAAAAACTGTGGTACCTGAGCTATGTGCTTTGCAGAGATCAGTTCAACCATGACAAACGATGCATGCCATCCATGCTTTAAACCAAATATTTCCAAGAGCCCATCGGCAACATCAGCTTCAACAAAGCCTCTCTGGAAGTACATCAAAAAAGCCTATTTAGTCAAACATAATTACATTTGAAACACCAACAGTTCATCAAGTTGGCTTATATACAATATATATCCCTATATATTTTCTTTTAATAAAAGGAACATGAAATTGAATGCTTTCATATCTTAGGCAACATGAATATACCTTTTCCAAATATTCTGGTTTTGGTTTACCCCATGGATTTCTTCCACTTCCATAGCTATGAAGATTCAAAGCAACTATTGCCCTTACACTGAAAGGAAATGATGTAACTATATCGAGCAAAATGGACAAAACCAAAAACTGCACAAAAGTGATTGTGAGTTGTGACTTGTGGAGTTGTGACTCTTAACTACATTCACTAGGCAGTAAATTTTAAGTAATTAGAATTTCCAAGAACTACAACAAGAAGTCAAAACTATTAATAAGGAAGAAATGCACACTTGCCAGCAACTACAAATGGTAAAATAAAAGGTAATGATTCTTGTGATAGAAATGGTCCAGAATCTAAAGGAAAGAATGATTTTTTTATTGAACACTAAATACCAATTGTCGTGCCAATGTGGTAGCAGCCTTAAGCTAGGGCTAGAACAAACAAAATGAATGATTTCCAAGGATATTCAAGAAACTACAACTCTCCCCACTTTCTAAGAGTCCAATCCTTTCTCAAATGGCAAGATGATTTCTCTCTCAACCTCCCCTCTTTATTTATAGGTAATATGCTTTATTTATTCTACTATATGTGACTGCTAAACTAACCAAACTAACCCCCCCACTAACAGACACCTAACCGTTACTAATAGGTGCCTATCAGCCTGTCTTGCGAACATTGAATTGTTTTCCCAGTTAATAAATAGTATGCACCAGCAACAATTATATTATAGGATGAAAAATTTACCTATTAGGAATATCAATCTGCTCCCACTCTGAGCTATCGATCCTTTTGATATGAATCCGCATAATGTTTTTGAGTCCCCTAATAACAGAAAGGATTTTTAAGAATACAACAAGGAGGAATATTCTAATTAGCTTTTAAGTCATCTTCCTTTATTATTAAAATATATATATA